AACAACTAGCACAGAAACCAAGTTGGAAAAACGGAATAGAAGGGCTCTTCCAAACAGTCCACGCTTGGCATTTGGCTCACAAACTGTTTCCCACCTCCTTTGAACCTTCTTTTTCTTTAACTCCTCCTTGACTTCCTGTTCACCTCAGATGAGTCACTGTAGACCAAAATTTATGCATGCGCCTTTACAGAGATCATAGAACCCGCCTCCGGGTGAGTGAGTTTCTGAGAATCGTCCAATCAGAGATCAGCCAGAAAAAAAAATGCCGTCCTGGCTCCGCTGGCCTCACGTGATTCCAGTTCTCTCTTTCCGCCCTCCTCTGCGTAAGGTCCCGCACTGGAACCGGCCCCTGCAATGCTCCACCCTTCAGGCGCCGCTCGCTGATTGGCTGCTGTTCGCGCGGTCTCCTGGGTGACAGGAACGCGGTAGCCTAGCTCTGAGGAGAAGGAGCGCGCTTGCGCACTTATTAGATCTCGCGGCCGCTCGAGCTTTGAGATGAAGGTAAATAACTTAAAAATCCCTGAGGGGCGGGAAGACGAGACCGCTGGCCCTTCCCTCAAGCCCTCCGAGTATCTTTCTGAGGTGAAGGCCGTGTGTCTTCTCTTTCCTCCCAAGTGCATGAGGAGTTGGGAAGCTAGTGGGGTGACTAGGTTGGTGGATGCGGGGGTGAAGTTAAAAGAACGAGAGGAAAGAAAGAAGACGCAGGGAGAGAGATGCTCCATTTCTTGGGCCTCAAAGGGGGTGGGAGCTGTGCGGGAAGAGGGAATTCTGGGAACGAGCAGACTGGATCTGAAGAGACCCTGAACTTGGCACGGCGGAAAGATTGGGTCCTGAATGCGTTTAGAGGGTCGCCACGAAGTTGACTGGGTCAGTGTCACGAACTGCCGCATTCTTGCCGCTAAACCCTACCAAGTTCAGCGCCTTAAGTTTACACCACCCTAAAAAAGTGCAAAATCTGGAAAGAATCATCACCAATGTACTGCCTGTGACTGGTCTTAATTATACAGATCCTCTGGTGGTGAGGGTACATTAATCACGGAGACATCTGCACCCGGACACACAACTCTCACTTTCCTCCATGTCGTCCTCTCTGCACACTCATTTTTCTAGGTTTAGGCTTGTGAAGCTTCCTCCCTGGTCACTCACTACAGCTTTTCACCCTTCCACTTTACCCTACTTTAATATGGCAGAGGAATGAAAAGCTCAGATTTAAATTATTATATACATTCTAATGCTGTCTCATGGCAGTGTAGAAATTGCCGTTGACAGACTGCAGGTAATCATAATTCACATTTTTAAATCACTTCACAACTTGTGAGAGTATTGCAGTTTCATCATTGGTTTTGTGGCAGGAAGAGGCAAAATTAAAAGTTTTAGTTTTTCTGATTGTGAGACTAGAGCATTTTACTTTACGCGGAAGAAAAATTAAACCTAAGATCGTGGCCAAGGACAGGTCTGTCATAAAGCTAATTAATGAAGTTCGACTTTTCAGGGCAATGTGGTCATATGTTCTTCTTAAATTTGCAAAAGCAAGATTTTTTTTTATATATACTTTTCAAGAGTGTCTTCATGCCCTACAAAATCTAGAGATGCCTGTGATTACTGCATGTGTATACTTTCAACAAAAATGGATTTCCTTTTAAGAATGAAATGTTCACTGATTTATGTTTCATTTTGAGCACTGAAAGATTTTCGTGTTAACACTCAAAATGTCAGGTCCTCTGTTGTTAAATGCTGAGTCGGTTCTGACTCATAGCGTCCCTGTATAGGGTTTCTGAGGGGTGGCTGGTGAGTTTGAACCACCGACTTTGCTGTTCAAACCAACCTTGTGATCCAGTGCTTATCCTACAGCGCCAAAACAGGATCCTATTGTTATTGTTGTTACGTGCTGTCGAGTCTATTCTGACCCATAATGACACTGTATAGGGTTTCTGAGGAGCGGCTGATAAGCTTGAACCATTGACCTTGTAGCTCAAACCGACTTTGCAGTCTAGCACATTAACCCACAGCACCACACCAGCCCTAGCTTAATATTATGTACATATGATACTGACATATTTTTAGTAGTGTTGAAATAGACATTTTCTTACTGAACTGTTTGTACCTGTTAATAGAAATATATAGTGCAAGCCAATGCAATTTAAATATTTTATTGTTGTTGTTAAGTACCATCGAGTTGGTTCTGACTCATAGCAATCCTGTGTAGGGTTTCCAAGGAGCTACTGGTAAGTTTGAACCGCAAACCTTGTAGTTGAAAATGCCCTTGCAGTCCAGTGCTCATCCTACAGGACTCCAAATATTTTGAGTCATGCTTAAAAAATGTAAATAGGTAAATGAGTAATTTAACCATAAAATTACCAGTGAGATAGTATAGTGGTTTGTTTTTCCATGTCTTTGAAATCCAATGTATATTTTAGACTTACAGCATATTGAAATTTAGACTACCCAAGTTTTAATCAGGCTCTCAGCAACGACGTGGGGCTTGTGACTACCATTTTGGATGTTCCTGCTTTAGATTGTCTATGGAAGAGAAAGGAATGAGTTTTCAACTGACACCCTGTCTGCCAATATTTACTTAATGATGAAGTAAAACATTAAAAGAAGAAAATGATTTTCAAGAAGTATCTAGTTGCAGTGGAGTTGATTCCAGCTCATGGTTACCCCACGTGTTAGAGTGGAACTGCCTTCCATAGTCTTTTCATGACTATGTATGACTTTTCAGAAGTATATTACTGGGCCTTTCTTCCCAGGTGCTTGTGACTACCATTTTGGATGGGTGGGTTCAAACTGCCAACCTTTTTGTTAGTATTCAAACGGTTAACCATTTATACCACTCAGAGACTCCCGAAGAAAATATAAATAGTATGAATTTTTATCATGGTTAAGATTTGTTTAACAAAACAGCAATTGTGTTAAAATTAATTTTTTTTAAAATCCATGCTGCTAAACCCACCAGCCACTCCTCGGAAACCATAAACAAGGTTGCCATTAATGGGAACTGACTTGACAGCACTTAACAACAACAAGAAGTTTGTGACTGTGGACCCAAGCGAAGTAAATTGTTAAAACACTGGATTAAGGTAGAATTTGCCGTTGTTGTTGTCGGGTGCTTCAAGTTGGTCCCAATTTATGGCTACTCTATGCACAACAGAATGAAACACTGCCCAGTCCAGCATCATGCTCATAATTACTAGTATGCTTGAGACCATTGTTGTTGACACTGTGCATATCCATCTTGTTGGGAGTCTTCCTCTTTTTCGCTGACCCACCATTTTGCCAAGTATGATGTCATTCTCAAGGAACATGTGTCTCCTGATAACATATCCAAAGTATGAGAGACCAAGTCTCGCCATCCTGGCTTTTAAGGAGCATTCTGGTTGTACTTATTCCAACAAAAATTCGTTTGCTGTTCTAACAGTCCTTGGTACTTTCAATGTTCTTTTCCAACGCCATCACTCAAATGCACCAATTCTTCTACAGTCTTCCTTATTCATCGTCCAACTTTCACACACATATGAAGCTATAAAAAATACCACGGCACACCTTAGTCCTGAAATGGATACCTTTGCTCTTGAACATTTTAAATAAGTCTTGTGCAACAGATTTGCCTAATGAAATACAGCGTTTGATTTCTTGACTGCTGCTTCCATAGTGTTGATTATGGATCCAAGCAAAATGAAATCTTTGACAATTTCAATCTTTTCTCCATTTATCATGGGATTATTTATTGATCCACTGATGAGAGTTTTGCTTTCTTTACATTGTGGTATAATCCAAACTGATGACTATAGTCTTTGATCATCATCAGTGGTATTTTGAGTCCTCGGCTTTCAGCAAGCAAGGTTGTATCAGCTGCCTACCACAGGTTGTTTATGAGTCTTCCTCCAATACTGATATCACATCCTTTATATAATCCAGCTTCTTGGATTATTTACTCAGCATATAGACTGAATAAACATGGTGAAAGAATATAACCCTGGCACATGCCTGACTTGATTTTAACCTTCAGTATCCTTTTGTTCTGTTTAAATGACTGCCTTTTGGACTATGTACAGGTTCCTCATGAGCACAATTAAGTGTTCTGGAATACCCATTCTTTTAAGTGTCATCCATAGCTTGTCATGCTGTACAATTAAAAGCCTTTGCATACTCAATAAAGCACAAGTAAATGTGTTTCCAGCAAAAAAAAAAAAAAATCCATGTTATTGTTGGCAAAGAATATTGAAAGTACCAGGGACTGTCAGAAGAACAAATAAATCGGTCTTGGAAGAAGTACAGCCAGAATGCTCCTTTGTTGTTGTTGTTGTTGTTAGGTGCCATCGAGTCGGAACTGACCTATAGTGACCTTATGCACAGCAGAACGAAACACTGCCCAATCCTGGGCCAACCTCACTACTGTTGCCACTCTTGAGTCCATCGATGCTGCCACATGGCCAATCCATCTCATTGGGGGTCTTCCTCTTTTTGTCTGATCCTCCACTTTACCAAATATGATATCCTTCTCCAGCGACTGTTCCCTCCTTACAATATGTCCAAAGTATGAGAGATGAAGTTTGGCCATCTTGACCTCCAAGGAGCACTCTGGCTGCACTTCTTCCAAAATGGATATATTGGTTCTTTTGGCAGCACATGGTACTTTCAATATTCTCCTCCAACACCATAACTCAAAGGCATCAATTCTTCTACAGTCTTCCTTATTCACTGTCCAGCTTTTGCATGCATATGAAGTTATTGAAAACACCATGGCTAGGGTCAGGGGTACCTTAGTCCTCCAAGCTGACATCTTTGCTCTTCAACACTTTAAAAAGGTCTTGTGCCGCAGATTTGCCTAATGCAATATGTTGTTTGATCTCTTGACTCCTGCTTCCGTGAGTGTTGATAGTTGATCCAAGAAAAATGAAGTCCTTGACAACTTCAATCTTTTCTCTGTTGATAAGCTCCTTAAAAGTCTGGCTAGACTTTTCTCAAGTATTTTGTCCATGTTGTAAGGAGGAACCAGTCTCTGGGAAACTACATCATGCTTGGTAAAGTAGGGGGCCACTGAAAAAAGAGGAAGACCCCAATAAGATGGATTGACACATTGGCTGCAACAATGGAATGAAACATAACAATTGTGAAGAGGGTGTGGGACCAGGCAGTATTTCATTCTATTCTACATATGGGTCTGAGCTGAATCCATAGCACCTAACAATAATTACTGATAACAGTAACTATTCAGTAAAAGTAAAGTTCAGGTTTAAATTGTTTTTATCCTTGCTGGTGGTGGTGGTGTGCCGAGGAGTCAGTTCCAACTCAGCGACCCTGTACAGGGTTTCCAAGGCTATAAATCTTTACGGGAGCAGAATGCTTCATCTTTCTCCCACGGAACAGCTGGTAGTTTCAAACTGCTGACCTTGAGGTTAGCAACCCAATTTATAACCACTATGCTACCAGAGCTTTATGAAAGTATAAAATTATATTTTTTTATAAATAAATTAACATTAAAAAAAATTCTACACGTAGAGTAGATAGGGATGGGCAACTTGGACATTGGCTACCCAAAATGGGGGGCTGGGGGTGCTACAAAGGCAAGAAGTGCCTGGCTTGCAAGCTTTAAAGAGGGAACCTAGAGCCAGGGGGCCTGGAGGAATCTCCAGTGAGTAGTATCCAATCTGTCTAGGCAGAGCTGATGAAATGAAATGCAGATGGGTCTCTTGTGATATAATAGTGAATAATTGTTATCAGGACTGATTGTGAGGGTTGGAAATGTAAAGGTAGATGTTTTATAGCAAGGAAGGGAGTGATTAACTTTCTAGTCTAGGAGCGGAGATCCCTAGGACCATCAATGGAGAAAAGCCGAGAGTGGGACCCTATCTAGAGAAGCAGTGATGCCTGAGATGGAGGCAGAGAAGATGTGGAGCGATGAAGTACCTGGGGATTTTACATTCAGAGTGGGAGAGGGACTGTGTGCTGAAGACTGGGGAGGGGGGCGGGGAGGGCCGGGAGTGTAGGAGGCAGTCTTGCAGAGTATACCCTTTGGTTGGTTGATGATGCATGGAGGGGATTGTAATCATGGCAATGAGACGATATACGATAGAATGAATGTAAAACTAATGTTCTCCCATGTAAAGTATCATATAATTCACAATAAAACATTAAAAAAAAAAATTCACGATGAAAAATGTTAATAGATCTCCCATATCTTGTGATCCATATTATACCAACCATATTTTGTTTCTTTGGTTTATTGGTTGGTATGTTAGATGTTTTGTTTGCTATATTGCTGACTTCTTTTGAGTCAGCTCTAATGCAAGCTTTCACTATCCTGAGTCCTACTGTTTTAATGATCGTTAACCTTTTCTAATCAATAACCTCATATGCATGAAAGCTGGACAGTGAATAAGGAAGACCATAGGAGAATTGATGCTTTTGAGTTATGGTGTTGGAGGAGAATATTGAAAGTACCATGGGCTACCAAAAGAACCAACAGATCTGTGTTGGAAGAAGTGCAGCCAGAGTGCTCCTTGGAGCTAGGATGGTCAAACTTAATCTCTCATACTTTGGACATATTGTCAGGAGGGACCAGTCACTGGTGAAGGATATCCTGTTTGGTAAGGTGGAGGGTCAGAGAAAAAGAGGAAGACCCCCAGCTAGATGGATTGGTCTAGTGGCAGCATCAATGGGCTCAAGCATGGCAACAATTGTGAGGTTGGCCCAGGATCAGCCAGTGTTTTGTTCTGTTGTGCATACGATCACTATGAGTCGGTACCAACTCGATGGCACCTAACAACAACAATCAACCTTTAATTGTATGTGTTTAGAAACTATAAAAATTGTGTCTTTATTTTTTAGCGTGTTTTCTTACTGCTCGAAAAGACATTGCTTGGCATACCAATACGGTTCACTTGGCAAAAAATATCGGGAAACTACCTTGCAGTAACAGGGTAAGAAATCAATGAATGTTTTAAGTTTCTCATCCTAACTCCAGACGAATGGATGCTCACATGATCACACTATCTAGTTAAGTAAACTTCTTGTGTGACAGCCATATGGTGGGAAAAGAAATGTGTCCACCTCCATTGACATCATAACTCACAGAATCTTTTCTTTGGTAAAGTAATTATTAAAAAATAATAACTATTTAGGTACAAATCATGAGCATTGAAATCACATGTGGTAACTTTTTTATTAAGATGTATAAAGAGATACATAAAGAAATGTTTTAATCATAATTTTGTGTTCTAACTACCATTAGAGCTGATCATATTGTGAAAATCTTTGATCGCCATGGTCAAAAAAGAAGTGAAATTAACTTACCTGGGTAAGTACAGAAGTAAATAAAAAATGTTTTCAAGCTTTGTTACGTAAAAGATTAAAAGGCTGTTTTGTTTGAAAAAACTTTTAATACATTACAAGTCATTGAAAACAAAGTATAATATTTTATGATAAAAATGTCTTACAATCTTTTATTTAAAAAAATTGTTCCTAATGACCAACCATGCTCTTTAAGTGAATTAATTGCAATTAAACTTATTTCTGTTAGCTTAGTGGACTGCTAACTGCAAGGTTAGCAATTCGAATGTACCAGGTGAGACTTTCTGCTCCCATAAAGATTTACAGCCTCAGAAACCCTATACAGGCTTGTTATGTGTCAGAACCAACTTGACGGCACTTAACAACAACAACACAGGAAGACCAGTTAATACCACTATTATTCAAACTTACACACTAACCACTAAAGCTGGCGATGGTGAAATTCAAGAATTCTACCAACTTCTTTATTCTGAAATTGATCAAACATGCAATCAAGATGTATTAACAATTACTGGCAATTAGAATGCAAAGGTTGGAAACAAAGAGGAAGGACTAGTAGTTAGAAAATATGGCCTTGGTGATAGAAACAATGCTGGAAATCACATGATAGAATTTTGCAAGACCAATGACTTTTTCATT